TACCAGAGCTCCTTCCCGTAGTGATACTGCCTAGGAAACCCAAGCAGGGGTTGCTATGAGTTGAGTCTGACTCAACGGCAGTGCATGCATTTTGAGCACAATAGCTCAAAACCTTTATCCTCAATGCTCAGGGCGAAATTATTCTAAGCATTTGTAAACTGTCACGTAAACACCATTTCCCTTTTTAATCCTACTGACCTTATGTGCCTCTCGTTTAATGAGATTCATACTCTTTGCATCCAAACAGAAGATTCAATTGCACCTATTCCTCACTTATTGACTATTTCATTATCAACATTTCACATTCATGACCACAGTAAAAAATCTACTATCTGACTATTTTGCGCATTAACGATGTACGTCAGGCAGTAACAAATGACAAGGTGCAAGGGGAGAGTAACATTGGCTGTGATGTTTAAGGTTATGTGTCAACTGGTCTGGGTGATTCTGAGTGGTTTGGCAGTTATGTAATGATGTAGTCTTTCTCTATTTTGTGATGTGATGTGCTCATCCTCCATTTTTGCAAAATTGTAACACCAATTTTCACATGATGACCAGGTCTTTGGAGCCTAACCATGTCAGTAAGTGAGGAGTAGGTATATACTAAAGGAACTCTGGTGGTGTAGTGCCTAAGACATTTAACTGCTAACCAACAGGTTGGCGGTTCAAATCCACCCGCCTCTCTGCAGAAGGAAGACAGTCTACTTCCACGAAGATTTACCACCTCAGAAACCCAAAGGGGGTCACTATGAATCGGAATTGACTTGACAGCAGTAAGTTTGGTTTGGTTTGGTTTAAGGAACTCTGGTGCTCATTGCCTAAGGCATTTGACTGCTAACCAGGAGGTTGACAGTTCAAATCCACCAGCTGCTCCATGGAAGGAAGATGGGGAAATCTACTTCTGTAAAGATTTACCATCTCATAAACCCAAAGGTCACTATGAGTTAGAATCGACTCCATGGCAGTAAGTTTGGAGTTTTTTTGTTGTTGTTTAGGTGTATACTGAATCAGAAAGGTGCATATCAAATATATTTTGGAAATAATGTTTTTGAACATTTATGTTTCTTTAAAAGTCACAAAGGATGACAGCCTTGTCTTTGTTTCTTAAATGAAGAAACTAAAAAACTCCCAGGGTCATGCCACAAGTATTGTGACCCCAAGATTAACTAATATAGATGCCTCTCCACAAGACTAACAATCACAAAAAAAGAGTTGGGAAAGTTCTTTCCAAGTTACAGGATGCCTGATGTTGAGCTGGTCCTTTTGGGAACCTCATTCAGAAAGGGTAAAGCAAGCATCCCAAATTCTCCCTAACATCAAAGAGATAATGTTGCTAAACCAAACCCACAGCCAAGTCAATTCCAACTCATAGCAACCCCCAAGGGGTTTCCAAGGCTGTAAATCTTTGCAGAAGTAGATTGCACCTATTCCTCATTTAATAACTATTTCATTATCAACATTTTGCATTTCCGACCATAGTAAAAACTCTACTATACTACTGTTTTGCACATTAATGATGTACATCAGGCAGTAACATGGCAAGGGGGTAGTAACATTGGCTGTGATGTTTAAGGTTATGTGTCAACTGGGCTGGGTGATTCTGAGTGGTTTGGCAGTTATGTAATGATGTAGTCTTCCTTCATTTTGTGATCTGATGTGGATCACATGTAGCACCTGGTGGATTTGAATCACAAACCTTCTGGTTAGCAGCCAAATATCTTACCCACTAAACCCCCAGAGATAATTGTTGCTAGTACAAGTTAAAGCAGTATTGCATCATGAACTAGTGCAGTTTTTTAGAGAGGATTTAATACTGCTAAATAGAAAATGTTACTAATGTGATGTGTTCCAGACATAGATCAACCCACTGCTATTGAGTCAATTCAGACTCATAGCAACCCTACAGGGCAGTGTAGAACTGCCCCAAAGGGTTTCCAAGGCTGTAAATCTTTACAGAAACAGACTGCTACATCTTCCTCCTGCAAAGTGGCTGGTGGGTTCTAGCCATCAAACTTTCAGTTAGCAGCCAGGCTCTTTAACCAACTGCACCACCACGGCTCCTTAGACTTAGATTAGAAAGCCCCAAAAACAAACCCATTGTCATCATGTGGACTAAGACTATGGCAACCCCATTCATTACAGCCGAAATGCTTCATTGGGTTTTCTTGTCTGTAA